CCATGAGAAGTAAAAACAGACATATGAAATAGGAATATCTAGAAATAAATATTATGTAGAAAAGAAGTTTTAGATCCGAACAGGAAAAAAATCTTTTACTTTCCTCTAAATCTACTCGTGGTTCTCTCCGCCTCTCTAGCGCCCCTGCTGGCCCTGAACTCCCCAGCAGAGAGGTTTTTGTTTGGACTGGAGAGGATGCCCTCTCACTGTGTGTTGTACAGTAATACACAGCCGTGTCCTCCGCTCTCAGGCTGTTCATTTGCAGATACAGCGTGTTCTTAGCGTTGTCTCTGGAGATGGTGAATCGGCCCTTCACAGAGTCTGGGTAGTTTATAGTTCCACTATTCCCATTAATTCTCCCAACCCACTCCATCCCTTTTCCTGGAGCCTGACGGACCCAGTGCATCCAGTAGTTACTGAAGGTGAATCCTGAAGTCACACAGGAGAGTTTCAGGGACCCCCCCGGCTGCACCAAGCCTCCCCCGGACTCCACCAGCTGCACCTCAGCCTGGACACCTGCAAACACAGAAACATCCTGCTCAGGAAACTGTCACACATGTCCACTGTTTATCCCACTCATGTCCACTCACTCACTCAGCATCTTTTGTTCAGCATAAATCACCTTTTAAAACAGCAACAAGGAAAACCCAGCTCAGTGCCAGCTCCATGGTGAGCTGTCTGTGTTTAGTCCTCATCATCGAGTTGGAGCAGCTGGATCCAGGGCTGGGCTCCTCTGCAGAGATGCAGGGTCAGGACTGGGCTTCTTTTTATCAGCACAGGGAGGCCCTATTTGCATGGCCTCCTGCTATATAGACAGCTCTGGTGTGGATGCCTCAGCTAGAGATGAGTCCAGGGCACATGAGAATTTTCTGGGAGATATTTGTAACATTTGTAATAAGGAATATATGATTTCTTACTATGTGCATGAGCTGTGATGGAAACAACTTTATTACCTTTCTCATAGTTATGCATGTATGTAATAAATGGGGTTGGTCATTTCCTAAGTTTTGCAGATGTACACTTAGAGCAAAAAGTATAATAGACCTGTGAGATTTAACCTAACGTGATAAGAACATCTCCGGTACTTGGGCCTTTGTCTTTCTCACTGTACTTACCTGCACTGTGAGCAACTCTAAGACAGAGTTAGCATGCTTGGGGATGTTCTACAGACCTCTTCCTCTAATGAGAGAAGATAACTAACATTCTAGTGATTCCCTAAATAAACAGACAGCCAGGACTCTTCAAGCCTACATTCAACTTTGATATAACTCATTTTATTATCACCATTTGAATATTTAAATTTAATTATTAATATTTAATAATTAATAAAATATTTATTTTCTATAAAATAAGTTTAATGATGACTAAGTG